TTTGCTGATGCAAAAATTATGAGGAGGATTAAGACGGAGGAAGACAGTATGAGACTACAAGATGACTAAGACAGACTGCATGAATGGTCCAACAAATGGCTACTAAAGTTCAATTCGAGTAAATGTAAGGTAATGAAACTAGGCAGTGAAAACAGGAGGCCAGACACAGGATACAGAATGGGAGACGAAGTACTTCATGAAACGGACAGAGAGAAAGATCTAGGAGTTGATATCACACCAAACCTGTCTCCTGAAGCCCACATCAAAATATCATCACCTGCGGCGTATGCGAGGCTGGCTAACATCAGAACAGCCTTCAGGAACCTGTGTAAGGAATCATTCAGAACCTTGTATACCACATATGTAAGACCAATCCTGGAGTATGCGACCCCAGCATGGAGCCCGTACCTTGTCAAGCACAAGGCGAAGCTTGAAAAAGTTCAGAGACATGCCACTAGGCTAGTCCCAGAACTAAGAGGCATGAGTTACGAAGAAAGGCTGCGAGAAATGCACCTCACGACACTAGAAGACAGAAGAGTAAGGGGAGACATGATCACTACCTATAAAATTCTTAGAGGAATTGACAGGGTAGATAAAGATAAACTGTTTAACAGGGGGTGGTATGCGAACAAGGGGACACAGATGGAAACCGAGTACCCAAATGAGCCACAGGGACGTTAGAAAGAACTTTTTCAGTGTGAGAGTAGTTAACAGATGGAATGCAGTGATGTGGTGGAGGCTGACTCCATACACAGTTTCAAATGAAGATACGATAAAGCCCAGTAGGCTCAGGAATCTGTACATAAGTCGATTAACAGTTGAGAGGCAGGACCAAAGAGCCAGAGCTCAACCCCCATAAGCACAATTAGGTGAGATTAGGTGAGTACACATACACATGAAAAGAAAAGAAAATTAAATAAAGAAAAGAAAAATACAAGCCGCCGACCAGTGGGCAGAGAGCAACACACCAGCCAGGCGAAGAAGGCACGTAAAAGACACAAAGAAAGCACAAAACTGCATCAAAATGCCCACCTCGACAACAAAACCCAAGGCCCTGGCACAACCACAACATGTACCAAGACCCAAAAAGATCAGCCTGCAAGCCAGGAAGACCCTGGAATCCCAGATGGCAGAACTGGGTCACATACGAGGTAACAAAGCCCCCAGAACCAACAAAGGGGGGCCCCAAGAGGAAAAAAACTCCGGAACGAAACCAAAGAACCCAAAGGAACCCGGAATCAAACCTGGGGGAGCCCAAACTACCACATTTGCCGGCAGAAATACACTACAGAAAGGCAAAGCACAGCCCCCAGACAGAACCCCCAGGGAAATGGCCAAAACAGACCGAAAACTGAGGGACAAGCTGTGGGAGCAAGCATAAACAGACAGGGACACTGAGGCCAAACTCTAGGGCCCAGACCCAAAACAGACAGAAAACGGAAAAACCGGTGTAAAAACCAACACCCCAAGCGTTCCCAGAGGAACAGAAGACGGGCAGAAAACACCAGAAAAGCAAAGAAACCCCTGAAAGAGGTGAAAAACTCACCCAAGACGCTAGCTTGCACACCCAGGTTCATGTAAACAAACCGCAACGCCACTCTAGTGGCCACGCCGGGAAACCGGCAGAAGAAAACGGCCACCAGAAACAGGGGCCCCGTGACTGACACAGTAGATACGAAAACACACTAGCAAATGTGGGAAGCAAGCCGACTAGATGGACGAAAAACTCTGCCCAGAAGCAGAAAACCAAGGCATGGGTAAACAGCCCCAGAACTGCTAGCAGGCATCCCCCCACAGCCCCAGGAACCCGCAACAGAGGCCCCGGAGCAGAGCCGTCCTCCACGCCCTCTGCCCTTAAAAAAAAAGTTAGAATCCAGGGAAAAGGCAGCAAGAAAGGGCCGCTGGTAAGACCCAGAAGCCTTGACAGGAGGAACAGGCTCGAAAACCTCCATCCTCAACCCGAACAGGGCAGCCCCCGGAACCACCCGAGACTTGGCCCCAACTAAACCTCGCCCCGACCCCGAAACTCGCAGACGGTCAGGAACCGGGAACAGGGAGGAAAAACGGTGAACAGCACCTAACCAAAACGGGGCGGCCCCGGGGCATCCGAGCGGGAAACCAACGTAGCGCGTTGCAGCAACCTAAACCAAGCCTGAAATACAGATGCTGCCTGTACTCTGAACAGTAATAACATCAGGAGAGTACTGGAAAACAAGCAGAGAACAACTCGCAAGACTCCGGGTCAAGGTGTCAGTGACCCAACAGGCAGCATGACGGAGGTAAAAGTGGCGACTGTCACCCGGAGATAAAGGCACAGCAACCAACGAACCCGCACAAGACAGGTTGGAACCCGGAAGACACATTCAATGGTACACCATGCCCCAATAGAGTTTTCCAGGACCCGTATGGGAAGCCCGGGCAAGATGTTGCTAACCAGTTAAAACCCAAAACTAACAAAGGGCAGAGGACAATACTGAAAACCCCTGCGACGTGTACAATCACGGGGACTAGTAGAGGGCCACCAAACCCTACTAGTGGAACTATAGCCACACTAGGTAGACCCCCACCAGGCAAAAGAAAATAAAAAAAAGAAAAACCCAGCAAAAGTACACCGTCCCCAGAGGCAACAGGAACCGGTCACCGCTTAGATGGCAGATCGCGCAACAAATGACGCCCTAACCAGCACAATACCAGTCCCTACCTAGGGCCAAACAAGGGCCCCAAGCTCCAGCTGGCCCCAAGGGCGAGGCAAATCAAAGCAGCAAGAACCTTTACGGGAATGGTTCCCGAATGCCCCAGGGAAGATAACCCTGTCACGCAGGGGCAGTACTTACAGGGCACTTAGGGAAGGAAGCCCCTAAGTGCATGCAGCCACGGTACTGATGAGGAACATCTGGCCACCGCACAACACAACACACGGCAGTGAACCCCACGAAAGGCAAACACCGCCTAGGGAACCGAGGCCAGAGAACCGTCTGTCCCGGTTGACATTAGTTTACGAACTAATGCTAGGCAGCCGGCGCAGTGAGGTCCGGGGCTCCCCCCTCCCCCTCTCGAGGCGGGGAGGACTGCGCGAACGATTTGCGCAGCAGAAAAGTGTGATGTTTGCTTGTTTCCTTGGGATTGTAGGGGGTTTCTACCTCTCGGTTCGGTTTTGTGTCTTAGGTTTTTACTATGTGGGGTTTGTTTTGTTATGCCAACCTTTCTGGGTGCCTAACCCCGGTCGATGGCAGATAAGGAAAACCCCAACCACAAGGGGGTTTTCCAGGGCCATTGCTCCCTGAAATTTCTGAAGGGGCCAGGTTCTGGTGCTGGTCCCTGGTAGGTCTGAACTCCTTATATTAGATCGGGACATTAGCTAACATACATTAGCCCAATAAGCTCCAGGGAGCTGTAGGGACTCCCCACAGAAAAATACAAGAATATTTACTTTCACTAACAAAGTGGTACACGGTTGGAACAAATTAGGCGAGAAGGTGGTGGAGGCCAAAACCGTCAGTAGATTCAAAATGTTTTATGAAGAGTGCTGGAAAGACAGGACACCACGAGCATAGCTCTCATTCTGTAACTACACTTGGGTGATTACATTTATTACACACAGGAAATAAGACAATACAACAGGAAATAACTTCTTACTCACCAGATTGACTAACAACCTCACAAGAGTGAGGTGGACGCCCCAAAAGCACACCCCCCCAAACACACACACGTGTGTGTGTGTGTGTGTGTGTGTGTGTGTGGGGCTTAGGCTGTCCCTGCGGCCTGGTCCTCGACCAGGCCTCCTTTTTGTTACACCCCCCCAGGAAGCAGCCCATAGCAGCTGTCTAATTATTATTAGAAAGAATTTTTTTTAGTGTCGGAGTGGTTGACAAATGGAATGCATTAGGAAGTGATGTGGTGGAGGCTGACTCCATACACAGTTTCAAGTGTAGATATGATAGAGCCCAATAGGCTCAGAAACCTGTACACCTGTTGATTGACGGTTGAGAGGCGGGACCAAAGAGTCGGAGCTCAACCCCCGCAAGCACAGTTAGGTGAGTTAGGCGAGTACACACACGCACCCTCTGTGGGCGACGTCCAGCCCCTCTCTGTCCTCGAGGGGGTGCTGGGATACTACACTCGCAAAAACACGCAAGGAAAACTTTACACTCACAAACTGGTATTTGAACTAAGAAAACATTTAAATAAATAGTAACAAAAGCTAGAATTTATATACCAGTCATTACAACCTAGAGGATTCAACTGAATACCAGGTTGCTTTTACCATGACGTGGTGTAGTGGTGTAAGGCTTGCTTGCGAGCATAGGTTTGAATCATCATCCTCAAATACATCAACAACAACAATAATTATTATTATTATTATTATTATTTTTGTTGAAATGTGTAGTGCAGAGGTCAGCACAGTTGGTTCATAACTCAGGACTCTGCAAGAAGTTTAGGTTCAGTTCCCACACAGGACAATGATGTTTGGGCAAGTTTCCGTTCACCTGATGCACATGTTCACCTAGCAGTAACTAAATACCTGGGAGTTAGGCAAATATTGTGGGTTGCATTTTGTGGAAGATCATAGTTGGCTGAGGAAGACCTCAATAAGCCTAAACAGCCTTCCTGCCCTTGACAAGGGGAAAACAGTTTCTGAAATCATGAGATTTATTTCACAGCCACCATCTTGAGGTTATCTTGAGATGATTTCGGGGCTTAGCGTCCCCACGGCCCGGTCCTTGACCAGGCCTCCTTTTTGTTACACCCCCCCCAGGAAGCAGCCCATAGCAGCTGTTTTACTCCCAGGTACCTATTTACTGCTAGGTAACAGTTTTTCACCCTGCTAGGGGCATCAGAGTGAAAAACATTTTGCCCATTTGTCTCCGCCTTCACTGGGGATCGAACCCGAAATCTCAGGACTACGAATCCAAAGCGCTGTCCACCCAGCTGTTAGGCGCCATGTATGCAACTGTGTCTTGACTAGTATACTGCACTGAAAAAATAAGTAGAAGTCATACCTCTGAGGAAGCATTGAGGAGATCTCTTCTTCCCGCATGGCTCTAGCGTCGTTAGGAAAATTTTTGCTATAAAATCTAGTATATTCCACTGGGTTTTCCTTTCCCAAGCCATAATCAAATTTGACAACTTGGAGACCGAGATCATTTTTCTTTAATGAGCTTCCTGTTGGAATGCTGTTTAATATGGCATCCATAAGTTTGTCTTCACTCTGTAAACAGCACAGCATTTATATAAATGAACACCGATTGTTAGTAAATAACTGCAAACAGACCACCAACTAGAATCAGTGTGATAATATTTCATGTAAACAATTCTAATGACTGCAGAAGAAAATACTAATATAATATTAATATCATCAATATTATTACATGGAGAGTATTCACGCTATCGTGATGCATCAATGAGCAAATCCGTAGAATCCGTGATGAGGGTTCGAACCTACGCGCTAGGTGTTCCCAGGCACTCGCTCTAAGACAACTATGCGACGACCATGTTGTGGCATAGTTGTCTAGGGCAGCGGTCGCCAACCTTTTGGAGCTCATGGATCACCAAATTCATAAATTTAAGTTCCGTGGTCCACCAAACAAGAAATGATAGTTATTAAAGTGAACTATTTGATGCCATTAAATATAACAGTTAAAGAAAATACACAGATGCATGCAATACACAAATAATATTGTCTCGTGGACCACCGGTTGGCGACTGCTGGTCTAGAGCATGTGCCTCAGAATACTCAGTGCATAGGTTTCGAACACTCATCATGGGTCCTATGGATTTATTCACCAATAATATTAATATCACCAATATATATATATTAATGTTGAATGTAACAAAATGCCATTTTCTGGTGGGCCCTTAGAGTAAAGTACCTATACTGTAAATAAAGTAAGGACAGGTTTCATGAGTTCGTACTCTAGGGTACAGCTTACAAGCTTTGTGACCTTACAAAGTCACCAAGGAAAATAGGGCGAGGTCAGCCAGCCTGGATGTATCCAAAAACACGCATAGCAGCCAATAAGCTGAGATCGACCATTACTCCAAAGAGATCAGATTTATCAACTAAAGAGGTCTGAATGCCAGAGGAGGTACTAAAACAAATCTGTGTGAGCTACCGAAGGGAAAACATGGAAAGACTGAAACCACCAAATGGGACCCAGAATCGAGCCCAAGTGGGACCAGCCAGACCATCACTCATACATGGGACAGGAAAATTTAACCCTGTGAAACAAAAGACTCTCCAAAGAGGAAACCAAGGTCCAAGAAGGCTCGAACAGCAACCACCGCTACTCCTCGGGCTCCTCCTTTAGTCATAGAAGCCTGGAAAAGCAGAGGTGCAATAGGTACTCTGAGGGAAAACTCATCACTATCAAGGGCATGAGAATTTTCAACACTCCTGCTACAGCTTGAGGAGAGAGCCAGAAAAAAATTTTGAAAAAGGGATTACAGACAAATGTAAAACAGAACCAGGGCTATTCTATAAATTCATAAACAACAAATTGCACGTTAAAGGATAATATTCAGAGGTTGAAAATGGGAAATAGATTCACGGAAAATGAAAAGGAAATATGTGAAACAAAGTTCCAAAGTGTGTTTGTACAAAATGTCAGGGAACCAGACAATAAGAATTCCAGAGAACAACATAAAGCACATAGAGGTGTCTAGAGACGAAGTGGAAAAAATGCTCAAGGAGCTAAACAAGAACAAAGCAGTTGGTCCAGATGGAGTTTCACCATGGGTTCTGAGAGAATGTGCACCTGAGCTCAGCATTCCACTTCAACTGATTTTTCAGGCATCCCTGTGTACAGGAATTGTATCTGGTGTGTGGAAAAAGGCTAACATAGTTCCAATCTACAAAAGTGAAAGCAGGGAAGACCCCCTTAATTATAGACCTGTATCATTGACAAGTGTAAGTCAAAATATTGGAAAAAATAATTAAAACTAAATGGGTAGAACACCTGGAGAGAAATGATATAATATCAGACAGACAGTATGGTTTTTGATTTGTAAGATCCTGTGTATCGAATATACTCAGTTTCTATGATCGAGCAACAGAGATATTACAGGAAAGAGATGGTTGGGTTGACTGCATCTATCTAGACCGAAAAAAGGCTTTCGACAGAGTTCCACATAAGAGGTTGTTCTGGAAACTGGAAAATATTGGAGGAGTGACAGGTATGCTTCTAACATGGATGAAAAATTTTCTGACATAGAAAAATGAGGGCTGTGATCAGAGGCAATGTATCGGACTGGAGAAATGTCAAGTGGAGTACCACAGGGTTCAGTTGTTGCACCAGTGATGTTTATTGTCTACATAAATGATCTACCAGTTGGTATACAGAATTATATGAACATGTTTGCTGATGATGCTAAGATAAAAAGGAAGGATAAGAAACTTAGATGATTGTCATGCCCTTCAAGATGACCTGGACAAAATAAGTATATGGAGCACCACTTGGCAAATGGAATTTAATGTTAATAAATGCCATGTTATGGAATGTGGAATAGGAGAACATAGACCCCACACAACCTATATATTATGTGAGAAATCTTTAAAGAATTCTGATAAAGAAAGAGATCTAGGGGTGGTTCTAGATAGAAAACTATCACCCGAGGACCACATAAAGAATATTGTGCGAGAAGCCTATGCCACGCTTTCTAACTTCAGAATTGCTTTTAAATACATGGATGGCGATATACTAAAGAAATTGTTCACGACTTTTGTTAGGCCAAAGCTAGAATTTGCAGCGGTTTGGGGTGCCGATATCTTAAGAAGCACATCAACAAACTGGAAAAGGTGCAAAGACATGCTACTAAGTGGCTCCCAGAACTGAAGGGCAACAGCTACGAGGAGAGGTTAGAGGCATTAAATATGCCAAAACTAGAAGACAGAAGAAAAAGAGGTGATATGATCACTACATGCAAAATAGTAACAGGAATTGATAAATCGATAGGGAAGATTTCCCCGAGACCTGGAACTTTAAGAACAAAAGGTCATAGATTTAAACTAGCTAAACACAGATGCCGAAGAAATATAAGAAAATTCACTTTCGCAAACAGAGTGGTTGACGGTTGGAACAAGTTAGGTGAGAAGGTGGTGGAGGCCAAGACCGTCAGTAGTTTCAAAGCGTTATATGACAGAGTGCTGGGAAGACGGGACACCACGAGCGTAGCTCTCATCCTGTAACTACACTTAGGTAATTACACACACACACTTGGGGCTTGGCTGTATCATCACACTGAAAAGTCACACTGCTGCAGGCCCCAGGATAATTCAAATTATCCAAGTGTCAGGATTAGGGTGAGGGTTGCAAGTGGTGTCCCTGGATACATGAAGGTGTAGGGAATTTGAAAATATCATAAGAGATAGGAAATGTGTGTTAGTGAATGAAAAATCTTGGGTAGAAAAGTTGATACAGTATTTCAAAACAGCAGAAGGTAAACAAAAATGGCTGCCATCACAGGGGAAGACAGTACCCCAGCTAAGGGATCTTTTGCAGGTTTCTCACAACAAGATGCAATGAAAGGTGGTTTTCTTGACAGGTTAGTGATCATTGAGGACTTGCTAAAGAATTATGAAGAAAAAGTTATTAAATTGGAACAAAAAAATGAAGGTCTCAAGATAGAGATTTGTAATTTAAAAGGAAGTATTTTCCAGCAAGGTAAGGAGATTTCCAGCTTGACTGATAAGGTAAGGATGCAGGAGGAACACATCAAGGAACTAGTAAAGGATAATGAGGCATGGAAAGTGAAGAGTAGGGAATTTGAAGAAATTAACAAGCAAATAGACTCAAATCGTGAACAACTCAAGGGAGCCTGAGGGCTAACATGGAGTTAGGCAAGGAGATGCAACGAGAAACTTCATTGGCAACTCAAATAGAGGAAGCTAATAAAGAACTAGAAAAATATAAAGAAGAAATAAAAGCGACATATGCTCAAGTTGTAAAAGAGAGCTCAAGGAAGTGTGTTCGGAAGTCAAAACCAGAAATGACCAACAAGAAACAGAAATTAGGCAAGCAATTAGGAAAGAACTGGTTACCAACAGTAAACTAGTACAAAACACTGCAGATAGAAGTAAGTCCATAATAATTTTTGGATGTTCAGAAGGAAATTTCATCTAGGGCGGACCGAGCAGCAGAAGAGATGAAAATCACAGAGAAAATAGTAAGTTTAGGAGAAGGCTCAAAGAAAAATGTCAGTGATTTTAGAAGAATAGGAAAATATGAGAAAGACAAGAACCGCCCCTTAACCACTGCAGTGCGCACCAGATTTTGGCAAAAACTTCTTAGTGTAATTGCCAAGGACATTTTTTTTTTTTTTTTATAAATATTCAGGTATAGTTAATGTCAAAATCTTTCAAAACTCAACTATTTCCATTTCAAAACAAAAAAAGAAATGAAAACATTACAAAACATTAAAATGTAGCCTAATTAAAAAAAAATAGCACAACTCTCAGAGCGCCTAAAGGCGCTTTGAGCAATGAAGTGGTTAAGGGTGAAGTGTAATGGAGTGAAAAACATGATGAGAGCGCTTAGAAATGCCAGGAAATTGCAGTGATGAGGTTGGTAAACTTTGGTCAATAAGACAATACCACTCAAAGGAAGAGAGAAAATCTGAAAATGAACCTAATTGAAGCAAAACATCTAAATGGGGATAGAAATGAAGAAGACAAATTCTTTTTTCTACAAAGTGTCAGGGATTGGAAAGCTTGTGAAATGGTACATAAAAACAAAGCAACAAAATCAGTAGTGGAAGGGGGAGTAAAGAGCAAAGGGAAAGGAAACATGTTCCTGAAAATTGTATATACCAACATAGATGGAGTGAGGTCAAAAACTTTGGAGTTGCAAGATATAATTCAGCTTAGGGTCACAGATATTGTTGCATTATCAGATACGAAACTTGAAGGAAATATATTAAATGAAGTCATATTCCCAAGGGGCTATTCAGTTTGGAGACATGACAGGAAAACTAGGAAGGGAGGAAGAGTGGCTGTGCTGGTGAAAGAACACCTGAAGGTAAGAGTGTTAATATTTGAAAACCCTTGAGATATTGACATAATGGCATTGCAGGTCTGGAATCAGGATGATAAGCTGATAATTTTAAATGCCTACAGCCCACCAGCAAGCAACACATGGACAAAGGAAGAACTGGATGACAAACAAGAGGGCCCCATAATGGTCATGAGAGGTATTATTGTACAAGCAGATAAAG